AGACTCTAGTAATTCTTCAAGAGAAAGAAGAAGAAATAGGAGAGATGATGAAGAAAGGAGGTATGATAGGTGGAGAGATAATAGAGAGAGGAGGAATCAAAGAAGAAGAAGTGAAGATGTAAGAATAGGAGAAAATGAGAGAATGGGTGGAGTTAAAATAAAGATTCCTAGTTTTCATGGAAGGAATGATGTTGAAGCATACTTAGAGTGGGAATTGAAGATAGAGCAAGTATTCTCATGCCATGATTATAGTGAAGAAAAGAAAGTAAAGGTGGCCTCCCTAGAGTTTTACGACTACGCGTTGGTGTGGTGGGATCAAATTCAAAGGGACCGAAGGAGATATGATGAGGAGCCTGTAGATACATGGATTGAAATGAAGAACCTAATGCGTAGGAGATTTGTTCCTACATACTACAATAGAGAGCTTCATACAAAGCTTCAAGGTTTAAGGCAAGGTGGCAAAAGTGTTGATGACTATTATAAAGAAATGGAAATTGCCATAATACGACTATTATAATGTATTTGAAGAAAGAGAAGCAACAATGGCTCGTTTCTTAAATGGGTTGAACCATGACATCCGTGACATAGTGGAACTTCATCCCTATGTGGAACTTGAAGATTTGGTTCACCAAGCTATTAAAGTAGAAGCACAACTAAAGAGAAAGGGTACTTTGAGGAAGAATGTCTCTTCTTACAACTCAAAAGGGTGGAAGGAAGAAGTAAAGAAGAAGGAAATATCAATTAAGGATACAGTTATGCAAAGTGGTAAACCTTCCTCTAAAACTTCTTTTAATTCTACTAATACTTCTGCTTCTCCTACTTCTCAGCATAGAGCAATCAAATGCTTCAAATGTCTTGGAAAGGGTCATATTGCATCCCAATGTCCAAACAAGAAAACTATGATTTTGAAGGAGAATGGTGAAATCTCAAGTGCAAGTTCATCTCAATCATCACATGCTTTCAGTGAAGAAGATAGTGAGTTTGAAGCTTTATGCCATGAAGGAGATTTGCTTATGGTAAGGCGTCTCTTGGGTAGTATATCTAAAGAGGATGACACTACACAAAGAGAAAATATTTTTCATTCAAGATGCTTGGTACGTGGAAAGATTTGTTCTCTTATTGTTGATGGTGGTAGTTGTACCAATGTGGCTAGTGTTAGACTTGTTGAAAAATTGAATCTTACTACTACTCCTCATCCTAAGCCCTATAAGTTACAATGGTTGAGTGATGAAGGAGAGTTGGTTGTTAATAGACAGGTTTTGATTACTTTTTCTATTGACAAGTATGAGGATGAAGTCTTATGTGATGTAGTGCCTATGGAAACAAGTCATATCCTCTTGGGAAGACCATGGCAATTTGACAAGAAAGCTATTCATGATGGTTATTCCAACAAGTTTACGTTTGTACATAAAAGGTGCACAATCACTTTAGTGCCCATGACTCCTAGTCAAGTACATGAAGATCAAAAAGTCATGAAGTTAAGAAGAGAGCAAGAAAAAAAAGATGAGAGAAGAAATGAAAAGAAAAAGAGTGAGTTTGAAGGCAAACTTAAAAAGAAAGGGGGGAAAGTGAAGACACTTACAAGTGAAGAATATGAGAGTGAAGAGAAAGGTGAAACACTTACAAGTGAGAAATATGAGAGTAAAAAGAAAGGTGAAGAAAAAAATCAATATGAAAGGAGAGAAAATTTGTTTGTGAGAGAAAAAGAAGTAAAGAAAGTTTTGTTGGCCTCTCGGCCTATGTGCTTACCTCTGTATAAAGAAAGTACTCATAATAAATTTATGGATTCCTTTGCTAATGATATTTTGCCTAGTAGTGTTTTCTCTCTTCTACAGGATTTTGAAGATGTCTTCCCTAAAGAAGTATCTTACTGCCTACCTCCAATTAGAAAAATAAAACACCAAATTGAAAAGAAATTGGAGCAACAAGCAAAGTATATCAATAAGGGAAGGAAGAAAGTAGAATTTGAACCTGGAGATTGGGTTTGGATACATATGTGCAAAAAAAAGGTTTCCCATGCAAGGAAATGCAAGGTTTCAAACAAGAGGGGATGAATTATTTCAAATCTTAAAGATGATTAGAGATAATATATACAAAGTGGACTTATTAGGTAAGTATGATGTTAATGCTACTTTTAATGTATTTGATTTGTCTCTCGTTGATGTAGGTAATAAAGAGTCAAATTTGAGGACAAATTTTCTTGAAGAAAGAGGGATTGATGAGAATCAAGGAAGGCCCATTGAAGACAAAGACTTGAAGGCATTGGAAGAGCTTCAAGGACCAATGACAAGGGCAAGGGCAAAAAGAATAAATGGAGACTTAGAAAAGATTGTTGCTGTCTTATTTGAAAGGGAGCTCAATTTAGAGTTAGAAAAGCCCAAGATAATCAATTACATATGCTTAAAGGATTTGAACTCTAACGAGTTTTATTAGGATTTAATTATTATATTTAGTTTATTTATTTTAATATTAGTCATTACTTATTTTGAGTTTTTATTTAGGATAAAATCTTGTTATTTTATTTAGTTTATTTGAATTTAGGCTTGTTGGTACAAGAAGCCCATTAGGGTTTGCGTTAGTATTAGTTTACAAGCATTAGGCATATATAAGCTCTTGTAAACACACTTTTAATAAGTTTTGAATATAATTTGAGATTGAACACTCTTGTGACAGCGTGTGACTCTAAGTTCTTGAGTGAGCCAATTTTCTTTGATCTTATCAAGAGACCAAAACTCTTGTGGCGATCGTTCCTTGGCTTATCAATCTTGTGATTGTGGCGCCATTTTTCATCTCTATTCTATTTTTACTTTTTATTAATTTTCTTATTTCAATTCTTATTTGTGTCGTAATAATTCTGTTTTTATTGTGTGAAATCCAATTCAAGATCGTTTAATTCGGCGACACGGTTTGTGGTTGTCATCATAAGGACAATTCAAACAATCTAATAAATGAGAGATAGGTAAGAAAACTCCTTATAAATCAGGGTAGGTGGCCAATCCAAAAGTGGCATTCTCTTGTGCATGTTCCTGCAAGTCCTCATAAAAACCTTGAGCCGATGCCCATTAACCTTGAAGCTCCTTTGAGATCCCATATCCTGTAGTTCAATAACACCATAAGGAAAAAATTAACAATAAGAAAGGGACCATCCCATCTTGATCTCAATTTTCCAGGCATCAACTTAAGTCTAGAATTATATTACAGGTCTTTTTGACCAATGTTGAACTCTTTGCACCCTATTAGCTTATCATGAAAAGCCTTGGTGCGCTCCTTGTAGATGTTGGAGTTCTCATATGTTTCTTTGTGAATTTCCTCCAACTCTTATAATTGAAGCTTCCTATGTGAGCCTGCTGCCTCAATGTCCAGATTACATTGCTTGATCGTCCATAATGCCTTATGTTCCACCTCTACTAGTAGATGACATGCTTTGCCAAAAACAACCCGATAAGGAGACATTCCTATGAATGTTTTGTGACGATCCTATAAACTAACAAAGCTTCCTCTAAGTGCAGACTCCAATCCTCCCTCAACCTTAGGGACTTGCTCAGTTTCACACCATGGATGGTCGCTGGTTAATCCCCGCCTCACGGATACAACGTGTGCGGTTACAGGCTCCTTAGCAAAGGTGTTAGTTAGAGGCTAAGTCAGGAGGAGAGTGTGTGGCCTATGGTGCACCCACGCTCACTGTTAGTGTCACCATCACCCTCTCTTCCCCAAGGTATTTCTATCACCCACATCTTCTACACCCCTAATGTATCGCTGTAACCATTCATAGTTTCCAACCATTTCAAACACAACTACAATCGCAATCGACATGCCATTTTCCACACACTTTCACCCACATTCTCAATCATTTATAGTATTCATTCTCACATATGGCACATCTACACATATTTAACAACACTAAGCTTAAACACACAATTTTCATCACATCTTATTACAATCTAGTCATTTTCATCTAGATATACATCCTTCGACATTCTATCTCAATCACATTCCAATCCATACCAATATACATGAATTTAACACCAAAGGGTAGGGTAGAGTCCCCCTTCACCTTGGAATGTAGACCTAACAAGAATTAAGGGTAGAAAACGTCCTTCACGTAGTGTTTTGCCCTAGCTACATGGAAAAATTCCATGAGAAATCAAGAGGACAACAAAAATGGCGAAAATCAAAAACCCTAGCTCACAAAACTTACCTTCAAACGTCCAAAACACAACCATAACCTTCAATCTTGCACCCAAATGGCTTTAGAGGCAGTTTAACTGGTGAAATAGGGTTGGGAATTGAGAGAATCAAAGAAGGGATGAGAGGAAAAGTGGAAAATGAATTTTCCTAAACCCTAAACCCCTCAAATACCCTAGGATTCGCGATACTCTTGCTACAGTAAGGCACTCTAGCTGTAGCAAGACCCCTTTTTGCTACAGCAAAAATATCAGACCAAACTGCACTCTGGTTTCTACATAATCTTGTTACAACGAGATCCTCTCGCTATAGTAAGACTGCACCAAGAAAACTATCCCTCTCTGTTGCCTTTTCGCTACTACAAGACCCATTTTTGCTACAGCGAAAATATCAGACCAAACTGCACTCTGGTTTCTACATAATCTCGCTACAATGAGATCCTCTCGCTATAGCGAGACTGCACCAAGAAAACTACCCCTCTCTGTTGCCTTTTCGCTACAGTAAGAATGCAACAGAGACACCTAACTCGCCTAGGACCTTCTCGCTAGAGCGAGAATGCCCTTGCAGTAAACATTTGTCTTATTTCTACATCAATCCATACACATCCAATCTCAATCCAATAATCAACATTCACATTTATACTTACATATTTATCTACATATATTCACACACACATATTCATATCACCATATAAATCAAAATGCACATTCAATTAGAAATCTACAATTTATATTAATAAATAAATACTATTATAAACTCAGGGCGTTACAACTCTTCTCTCCTTTAGAAAATTTCATCCCCGAAATTCACTCAATCTATACAAATAACTCTGGATACAATTCTCTTATTCTGGTCTCCGTTTTCCATGTGGCATCTCCCTCATCACTCGAGCTCCATATCACCTTTACCAGTGGGATCTCCTTGCCCCTCAACTGCTTAACACTGTGATCCGCAATCCTCACTGGGTACACATTGCAGGACAAGTTTTCCCTTACCTGAACCGGGTCATGATCAATCACGTGAGAGGGATCTGACACATACTTCATGACTTTGGACACATGGAACACCGGATGTAAGTTTGAGAGATTCAAAGGTGGTGCTGTCTGGTAAGTTAGAGGAGCGATTTTACTCAGCACTTTGAATGGTCCAATAAACTTAGGAGATAGATTTCTAGATTTCAGAGCTCTCCCAACTCCGGTCACAGATGAGACCTTCAAAAACACATGGTCGTCCACCTGGAATTCCAAAGGCTTCCTCCTCTTGTCATCGTAGCTCTTTTGTCGATCTTGTGCAGCCTTCACCTTCTCTTTGATCATCTTGATCTACTCGTTTTGCTTCTGAACCATGACCGGTGCATATAGAGTCGCCTCTTCAGTCTCATACTAACACAAGGGAGTTCTACATCTTCTCCTATACAAAGCCTCGAACGGTGTCATTCCAATGCTAGCGTGATAGCTATTATTGTACGTGAACTCCATTAACGGTTGACATTCTTCCTAAGTTCTCTGCTGCTCAATCACACAAGCTCTCAACAAGTCTTCTAGGGATTGGATGGCCCTCTTAGTCTGACCGTCAGTCTGTGGGTGGTAAGCTGAACTAAGCTTCAACTTAGTGCCCAACGCCCTCTGCAGGCTCTCCCAAAACCTCAAAGTAAACCTTGAGTCTCTGTCGGATACCACACTAGTCGGCACTCCATGTAGTTTGACTATCTCCCTCACATACAAGTCCGCTAGCCTCTCTAACTTATACTTCATGTTGATTGAAAAAAGTGTGCAGCTTTAGTTAATCAATCCACTATCACCCAAATAGCGTCATGGTTGTTCCTAGTTCTTTGAATCCAAAAAATTGATGCTATCCCACTTCCACTCAGGGATCTCCAAAGGTTGCAACAATCCAGGTGGACGATGGTGTTCTACCTTCGCCTTCTGATAAGTCAGACATCTAGCTACATATTCGGCCACATCCTTCTTCATCCCATTCCACCAGAAGCTCTTATAGAGGTTCTGATACATCTTGGTGGCACTGGGGTGAAAACTCATTTTGCTCTTATGCGCCTCCTCAAGTATCATTTGTTTCAACTCATCCACTTGGGGAATGCATACATGATCTTGAAACTTGATCACTCTATCCTCATCACAGTGGAGCTTTAAGTCTTTTCCCTCACTCTTTTGCCTCATCATGTCTTGCAAGAAAGCATCTCCCTACTGAGCATCTCGGACATGTATCAAGAAGTCATTGTGGATCATTGTTGTTCTGAGATACAAACTTCTGGGCCTTATCTCTATAGCCAAGTTCATATCCTGAAACTCCTCAATTAGTTCCATCACTTTCACCATCATTACCACCACATGCAATGACTTCCTGCTCAATGCGTCTGCCACCACATTTGCCATGCCAGGATGGTAAGACAATGTGAAGTCATAGTCCTTGAAGAATTTCATCCACCTCCTCTGCTGCATATTCAATTCCCTCTGATTAAACAGGTACTTCAGGCTCTTGTGGTCACTAAACACTTCAAATCTTGCTTCATAGAGGTAGTGCCTCCACACCTTAAGAGAAAACACCACTGCAGCTAACTCCAAATCATAAGTTAGGTAGTTGACTTTGTGAGAACGCAATTTTCTCGAAACATAGACGACCACTCTTCCATCTTGCATCAAAACACATCCCAGTCCATGTCCAGACGCCCCCACAATATACATCAAACTTCCACTTCGGGTTAGGCAGAACCAAGACAGGTGCTAAAGTCAACTTCCCTTTTAGGTCTAGGAAACTAGCTTCACATTCTATGCTCCACTTGAACTCCTTTCCTTTTCAGGTTAGCTTTATCAAAGGTAAAGCTATTTTAGAAAACCCTTAAATGAATTTCCTATAATAGCCCACTAGTCCTAAAAAACTGCAGATCTTTGTCACATTTGTAGGTCTCAGCCATTGAGCTACTGCTTCCACCTTTGCAGGATCTACCATAATTCCTTCCTTTGATATGACATGCCCCAAAAATTGAATCTGGAAAAGCCAAAACTCGCACTTGGAGAGTTTGGCATACAACTGCCTCTCCCTCAAAATTTGCAAAATAATCCTCAAGTGCTCGACATGCTCCTCTTGAGTCTTTGAATAAATTAGGATGTCATCAATGAATACCACCACAAACTCCAAAAACTCATGAAAGATTCTGTTTATGCAGTCCATGAACACAGTAGGTGCATTGGTCACTCCAAATGGCATCACCGAGTACTCATAGTGAGCATAACACGTCCTGAAAGCCGTCTTGGGTACATCCTCTTTCTTCACCCTAATCTGTTGGTACCCTAATGTCAAGTCAATCTTTGAAAACATTGCAACTCCCCTTAACTAGTCCATCAAATCATCAATTTGGGGAAGGGGGTACTTGTTCTTTATTGTCACCTTGTTCAATTGCTTATAATCTACGCACATCCTCATACTCCCATCTTTCTTCTTCACCAAAAGCATTGGTGCTTCCTATGGTGATACACTTGGTCTCACAAACCACTTCTTCAATAAGTCCTTCACTTGCTTCTTGACCTGTGCTAACTCCACCGGTGACATCCTATATGGTGCCACAGAAATCGGGCTTGCTCCTAGAATGAGGTCAATCATGAACTCTATCTCCCTCTCAGGCGACAACTCTGAGACATCTTCGGGGAATACTTCTAAGAAGTCCCTCACCACCTGGATATACTTCGGTTCTATTCAGATTTAGCCTCTACTAAGAACATGACCATAAAAGCCTTTGTCACGACCCTTTTTTTTTATAAGGAATCGAACATTATTTCTACATTTCTTACTTATTTGACATAGATAGATAATAGAGATTACAAGTATAAAATTCACATCTCATTCAAAATAAAACAAAGTTCCTTACAACAAATATCCAACAGAATAACATAATATTATATTTAGTTCATAATACTAAAAAATACACAAAGTTTTTACTATATCATTCCCTCTATATGAGGTCTTAAAATATAATACAAAGGACTTTAATGCAAAATTACTCGACTCCAGCTTTCTAACACTTCTCCACTAGCTCCTCAGCCTGTGAAGTAGATGCAACACCTGCTACATATATATATAGAGCAAAACATTTCTCACAGTAATAGCCCTATGCATTTCCAGCCCATCTAATGCACAACATGAAAACGGTTTCCAACTAGTTTCACAGCCTAAGTAATCCAGAATGAACCGAGCCGGTTCAGGAGCGACCCATTTCGGTATCTGGATCCAGATAGCACAACACAACAGCTCAGCATGAACTTACCGTTACACGTCTACCCACCTAAACATGTAACTCGGCTCGATAATGATGCAAAACATATATCTCAACATGATGTAGCACCGCTAAAATTGTTTTAGCAGCTCAGCTAAGACAAGTTTATAATAGATCAGCCAAAATCTTAGCATTTTAAATCAATTAACAGCAGTTACAACTTAGAAAATAGCTTTTAGTCAAAAGATGTAACAAAATCATATCAAAACTTCTTGTAATAGCATATCAAACCATTCAAAATATAGTTCATTGGCTAAAATAAGCTTCCCTTACCTTAGAACGATAATTCACACCAAATCTACCGAATATTACTTGTTTTAATGCAAGATTCATCGAAGATTCAGCTTTAGAATGAAGTTTCTCTTCAAATCCTTCAGAATAGACATAGAATCTCAGATCTGGTGAGAAATCTAAGTTTAGGATGAGAGAAAATTGTGAGAAATATTTGAGAACCTTGGATAGAAGAGAAGATATGAAAATTTCATATGAAGCTCCTATTTTATAGAAAATTGTTTGAAAGGCGTCAGCGTGACGTCACCAATGATGTCAGCAATGACATCAGTGTGATGTCAGCAATGACATAAGCATGATGTCACTGATGACATCAGTGTGATGTCACTGATGACATCAGGGGTTACTATATATACATTATTTTACTGGTCACAAAGAACTACAAATGTTTCTCAATAATATACTAGAGGCCTGATAGCCTTAGCATTTTTCTATGTTCTCTCACGCACCTTGACTCAAAAGTCTAGGAATTTTTGAACTCGACGCACCAAAAGTCAACGAATCTTCTTGTAGTCCAGCAGCACATGGTTGACAGCTAGCCAATCCAATTCCAAAATTATGTTTAATTGGGAGAGAGGCAAACAGATCAAGTCTACCTCAAAGTCCCTTCCATGCACCATTATCGAACACCCCAGACAAATTCACGAGATTATGACCAGTTTACCAGTAAGGGTAGTCACCACAACATTGCACTACAATTCCATCACAAACAAACCCAGACATTTCACACAAACCATATAAATAAATGAGTGCATAGCACCCAAGTCAAACAAGACATCCAACAATCTACCTTTAATGACACATTTACCTCGAGTCAGCTTTTCAAATTGTGAAGCCTTTGCCCCACTTATAGCAAAGACTCTCCCAAGTATGCTCAGCTTCAGTCCCGTACTCGGCCCTGTGCTCCCTCTCAATTCGAGCCTCTGGGCTGTACTTATATTGCCACTCTTCTTAGGGGCAGCCCAACACACGTTAGTTGTGTGCCCCAAATTTCCGCAGTTGCCACAGTTGTCCATGGCTGTGGATAGTCTCTTAACATGTGTGGCCCTCCACACCTAAAACACCGGATTGGCCCTCTGAAAGAGCTTGAACCTGAGCCACTCCCACTGCTCCTCTTTTGAGATAAAGTTCCTCTAGACTGTGAATGGCTGGAGTTCGAATATGGCCCCTTAAAGAACCTAGGGGGTCTTTTATCCTATGTCATCAGACCACTCCCCTTGGTGTCCACAGTCTTGCCCTTCGAATTGACTTTAAATATTCTGTACTTGCTCACCAAAGTAGGCAAGCCAGTCAGCTGAAACACACTAACTGCAGCACGAATTTCTGACTTCAATCTATGCTCAACTTGAGCACACAAATCCTCGTCTTCATCTTCATGCTGGTAATAAGGCCAATACTTTATTAAATCTTGAAACTTTGCCGCATCCTCCCCCACTATCATATTTCCTTACTTCAAATCAAGGAACTCTCGAGCCTTCTGCTTCTTCAAGTTCTGGGGAAAATAGTTTCTCAGGAAGCTCGCCTTTAATGCCTCCCACTGGATGTAACCACCTTCTTGTGGCAAAGTCTCACTGGCAAACCTCCACCAGTCTTCTGGCTCCCCACAGAGCATGTAGGTGGCATAATTCACCTTGTGCTCTTCCCTATAACCTATTGCATGGAAGATCTTCTCTACGTCTGCCACCCACCTCTGAGCTCCTTCTGAGTCAAACTTTCCCTCAAACTTCAGAGGATTAT